GGTGCATATACACAATGGAATATTATTCAGCCATAAGAAGAAAACAAATCCTACCATTTGCAACAACATGGATGGAGCTAGAGGGTATTATGCTCAGTGAAATAAGCCAGGTGGAGAAATACAAGTATCAAATGATTTCACTCATATGTGGAGTATAAGAACAAAGGAAAAACTGAAGGAACAGAACAGCAGCAGAATCACAGAACCCAAGAATGGACTAACAGTTACTAAAGGGAAAGGGACTGGGGAGGATGGGTGGGAAGGGAGGGATAAGGGTGAGGAAGAGGAAAGGGGGTATTACGATTAGCATGCATAATGTGGGTGGGGGTGGAATGGGGTGGGCTGTGCAACACAGAGAAGACAATAACTCTACAGCATCTTACTCCGCTTATGGACAGTGATTGTAATGGGGTTTGTTGGGGCGACTTGGTGAAGGTGGGTTCCTAGTAAACATAATGTTCCTCGTGTAATTGTAGATTAATGATACCAAAAAAAAAAAATCTAGAAGGCACTGCTTACCAATTTCTCTAATAGTTCTATGCTGTGTGTGGAGTATATGTGACCTACATCTATCTATCTATCATCTATCTATCTATCTATCTATCTATCTATCTATCTATCTATCTATCTATCTATCTATCTATTCATCTATCATCTTCTATGTATGCATCTACACCTTAATCAAGGCAGCTCTGACTCCTAGGGTCCATGGTCTTCAGGAGGAGGCAGGAGTCAGATGCTGCACCTCCACCTCCTCCCTCAGGCTGGCACCAGGTCCTGTGGGTCAAGCCACCGGGATCACAAGGCCACCAGGGAGTGCCAAGAGTGTGAGACATGAGGAGAAGCTGGGAACTCCTGTCACCGAGAAATGCCTGGTGTGGTAAATCCTGCCTGGATCTAGGTGGGAGAGGAAAGGACTCCTCCAAGGAATAAGATTTCTGAGATTTGTCTGGCAGACCCTTGTTGTAAATGAAAACATTTAGAGCACTATCATAAGAAGGAAGAGGCAGTGAAGAAAGGAGCAGAGACCTACCCGACCCACTGCCAGTGGAGAAAGGGTACCACTGCCCACCTCCAGGGAGCACTTCTGCATGGAGGTGCCTGGAGGTGCTCACCTGTGAGTCCAAGCAGCAGAGGCAGCAGCAGGGATGGTGGAGGCAGGCAGGGTGGGGAGGCAGGAATGGGCATCGCGGTGGCCCTGAGAACCTGCTGTGTCTGAATGTTGTCCTGGAGAAGCCTGGGACTCTGCTCTGCAGCGAGGGGAAGCTTTGACTTCCTAATATAAGGGGAAGTGACTAAGGTGGGAGGGAAGGGCTGTGGTGCTTTGAGAGTTTCTGCTTCTAGATTGTGAAATAGGAATCGGACAACAGCTAAGGGATTACTGATTAAGTCTCTTGAGATGCTTGTAGAGGCCCTGGTGCCCTTTCTCATCCAGGAGCCCCAGGGACAGTTTGCTGGAGTGGAGGGTGGGTCCAGGCTTCTCTAACAGTCCAACAAACTGGGCTCAGCTGCACTGTCCAAACGTTCAGGAGGAGGGCTCCTGGGAATGAGGCCTCAGGGGTGAGGCCCAGTTTCCTGGACTCCAGCAGTATCAGTGTAAAAATGAGGCATGTCTGATGGGCCCCCTGGCTTTGAGGGCACACTTTCAGGAGGAGCAGCTTTGCATGAGCAATGAGGTAGGTCTTGGACGGGGAAGATGGCTTCTGTTTCAGAGGATGGAAGAGGCCTGTGGGGGAGGAGGGTTTTAGCATGTTCATTCTGCAGGGAGAGCTACACACACAGAACCACAACAGGGAGGAACAGGGGTGCCTCTTCTGTGTGTCCTGGTCTGCTGCATCAAAAATGTGCCTTCTCTTTCTTTCTGAGCAGCAACAGCCAGCATGCAAGATTGGTTCCAGGGCCTCTCAGCTGTGAACTCTCACTTCCAAGGGTCAGAAACCAACCGATGTTTCATGGGTCAGTTTTCCTGCCGTTCTCGACCTTTGCCTCTGTCCCAGTGGATGGCTGCATATGGTGATGAGAAATGGCAGAATCAGAGGAAGTCAGAGATAGAATTAGATTGCTCTGACACATGACAAGTTTCTTCCTTCGGTGAGAGCTTGTAATTCTAGTTTGTTTGATTTTTCCTTAGAGGCGGTCCCTGTGGAGTCCTTGACAAGGAACTGACCAGTGTTTCTTTCAGCATCCATCATTCCAACCCACCCCCTTATTCAGCGGAGGCAGGCTGGATTTTGCAGAGCTGACTGTAGGTATAAACCCCTTCCCTCATGTCCTTTGACACTCCTCCCACCGAGAAATGGGTAAATGTTCCCTCCCCCTGAATCTGGGCAGTCTGTGACAATACCACAAGTGACGTGATGTAACTTCTGAGGCCAGACCATATAATTTCCCTGTACTTCTGCCTTGCCCTTTCGGGGTGTTCCTTTTTTGGAATCTTGCCACTAGGCTAGGCAGAAGCCCGAACTAGCACACATACTGAAGCCACGTGGCAAAGATACATGTAGGGCTTCTAGCTGAAAGCCCAGCTAAGGTGCCGGGCAATAGCCAGCATCAACCCTGAGACGTGTAAATGAAGAAGCTTCCAGATGGTGCCAGCACCTCAAAGCTATCCCCTCAGCTGAGGCTTCCCAGCTGCAGCCCCAAACAACATACTGCAGAGACAAGCCATTCTTGTGCCCTGTCTGAATTTCTGACCCACAGTATCACTGATTATAATGAAATGGTTGTTTCATGCCCTAAGTTTTGGGGTGTTTTGTTATGCAGCAAGAGTAACTAGAACACCACCCTTGGCAACCTTGTTTCTCATCCCCACTCATTAGAGTCTATCTCCTTCACTCGGCTTAGTGCTTCTTGCTAGAAGGGACCATTGGACATGTGTTAGGAGATAGGCTTTGGGGGACAAAAGGACCTTGGTTGGAATCCTGGACCCACCTGGTACCTGCATGACAGTGGGCAACTCATCTACATGCCTGTATTGTACTGTCTACTTAGCATGTGGAGACTGTTCTCACTACTTACCTCCCCCATCTGGCTCTCTGTCCTGTATCCTCATTTCAGTGTCTGACACCTCCATCCACCTAGTTAGTCAAGCTGGAAGGCCTTGGTGTCATTTTTGATAACTCCTTTTATTCCCCACATTCTTTCAACTAAATGCATCTTAAATCCCGTGTCTGTGAAATCTCTCTCCACTGTCATCTCTGGCTTGCCTTACTCTCCATCTATTTCAATCTTTTCCCTACATTGTATCCAGAATAGTACTTTTAAAAGAGAAATTACACTGTCATTCTTTTTTAATGGCTTTTCAGTGCTTTTAAGGTGAAACAATTCTTTTCAGGTGCCTGACTGACCTGACCCCCGTGCTTTGCCAGCCTTAACTCTTAGCCCTTTTGCTTATGTTTGGGCTCAGCTACACTGTCCCTTCTGCAGTGACTCAAACTCCCCACACCCCTCCTTTTCTTCTTTGTACTGGGGATGTCTGTCCACGTCTTGTTGTAAATAAACATGCAGCATCCTTAATTACCTATCAGAATTTGTAATCCTACATTTATATTCAGTGTTTTCCTTGTCCACTAGAGAATATGCCTCAGTGAGAAAAGAGGTTAGGTGCTCTGTTTCCCACTGAGAATGCTCAACAGGTATTTTTAAACTCAGGAGGGAATAGCTAGTGGGCTCATGGTGAGTATGTATGCGGTAGAACCACAGGATTCCTACCCTTTTTGACATTTCACAGTTGACCTCCCCATTCTTCCTTCTTTGAGCTTCTCCATCCCTGGAATCTGTGGGAACCAGACACTCATTATACTCATCTACATGCCTGTATTGTACTGTCTACTTAGCATGTGGAGACTGTTCTCACTACTTACCTCCCCCATCTGGCTCTCTGTCCTGTATCCTCATTTCAGTGTCTGACACCTCCATCCACCTAGTTAGTCAAGCTGGAAGGCCTTGGTGTCATTTTTGATAACTCCTTTTATTCCCCACATTCTTTCAACTAAATGCATCTTAAATCCCGTGTCTGTGAAATCTCTCTCCACTGTCATCTCTGGCTTGCCTTACTCTCCATCTATTTCAATCTTTTCCCTACATTGTATCCAGAATAGTACTTTTAAAAGAGAAATTACACTGTCATTCTTTTTTAATGGCTTTTCAGTGCTTTTAAGGTGAAACAATTCTTTTCAGGTGCCTGACTGACCTGACCCCCGTGCTTTGCCAGCCTTAACTCTTAGCCCTTTTGCTTATGTTTGGGCTCAGCTACACTGTCCCTTCTGCAGTGACTCAAACTCCCCACACCCCTCCTTTTCTTCTTTGTACTGGGGATGTCTGTCCACGTCTTGTTGTAAATAAACATGCAGCATCCTTAATTACCTATCAGAATTTGTAATCCTACATTTATATTCAGTGTTTTCCTTGTCCACTAGAGAATATGCCTCAGTGAGAAAAGAGGTTAGGTGCTCTGTTTCCCACTGAGAATGCTCAACAGGTATTTTTAAACTCAGGAGGGAATAGCTAGTGGGCTCATGGTGAGTATGTATGCGGTAGAACCACAGGATTCCTACCCTTTTTGACATTTCACAGTTGACCTCCCCATTCTTCCTTCTTTGAGCTTCTCCATCCCTGGAATCTGTGGGAACCAGACACTCATTAATTAAACCATAGTGGTGGCTTCACAGTTACCTTATTCTTGACCCCACCTGGTTGGGACTGGCTCTACTCTTAGTACTGGAGCCTCTCCTAGGTGAATGTTGGTGTGCCTCCTTGAGTAAGTCATGGAGGCCTTGCCATAGGCTATTTCAGAGACTTAGCCAGAGGAGTAGGGACCAAAAATGTCATTTTTGCAGTGATTGCCATCCATCTTGTTGTACCAGGCAGGTGAGCACAGCACCTCTGTGAGGTCAGTTCTGTTCACCAGGGTCAAACTCTGTATAGTGTTTAGTCCATCTCTGCTTATGGGGGGGTCAGAGTCTTATGTATCTGTGGGACATTTACATTCTTTATCCAAGTCAGCTGTATACCCTGGGGATAGAACTTCTGTGCCATGCAGGTGACATTTATCTTGTTCTTTGAGATGGGGTGTTCAAAAATAGACATGTTGGGTGGAACTGAAATGGCGTAGGACAAAAGCTCAGACTCCATGAAACAATCAGATCCATCTTGCTTATTACCTGGTGTCCATTTACTTAGCATCTACCTGGCATGTGGCAGTCCCTAGCACATAATAGGTGCTCAATATCTGGAAGATCCTGTTATTATGTAGCCTTGTTCCCTGAAGTAAATTTGGGGAGAGCTCTTCTCCAAAGCCAAGTGAAAATCTGGCCACATGTATTGTCACCTACCTAGTATTGTTTTAGGCAAATCAGCATTCATTGAAGAGGATAACGTAAGCTTAGGTGGTTAACATCAGGTGAGAGAAGAGTAGAAGTCCTGTATAGTTAGGACCACCTCAGGGGTACTGAAGATTTTGTACATGTTGCTGTTCTTCAACTGGACCACATGAATCTGGAGGGATGAGATTTCCTTCCCATATTTGAACCATTTCAGGGTAGTGTCTTTGCGAAAGAAGCCACAGGACATGCAGCTGAAATTCACAGCTTGCCCAAGGCGAGCCCTCTCCAAGGGGCCAATATTGCAGGCAAAGAAGGTGGGGCTACAAGAAGGAAGAATAATAAACAATGTTGGTAAGCCAACAGTATTGTGTGCTTTACATAATTTTAATTCTGACAACTCTGTGATTAGCTATATTTTATAAATAAGGAAATAGAAGCTGATACAGGCAAGGAACATACTACCAATTGGCAGAGCCAGAACTGGAATAAAGGTTTCTCTGGTCCACACAGCTAGCCGGCACTCCTCCCTCAGGCCAAACTGTTTCTATGTTCAGGAGCCACATTCCTGAATCTTTCTCACTTTTGGTATTGATTACTCCTACTATTCATTCTCATTTAATAAAATTTAGACAACTAGAAGGGGACTTTCTTAACCTGATGTTTAAGTACTGAAATCCTGACAGCATATCATCCTTAACGTAGAACTTCACAGAAATGTCCTTTTAGAATCAGTGACAGCAGGACAACCACTCTCACTGCATCTATGGCTAATGCAATGAGACAAGAAAAAATAATGATAAAAATAATTGGGAGGGAAGAAAAATGTAATGTAAGCTTACACAAAAAATCCAAGTAAATCGGTTCAGTAAAAGACTAATGGATTAGAAAGCCACATAGACGTGGGAATTTGGGATCAGCTAAAAAAGTGATTCAGGTAACATGTGGTATTGGGAACAATTATCTTTTTATGAATTCTCATTTATTTTGGTTGTTTATCTCTCATTAGAATATTAAATTCTTAAATCTAAAGCCTGATGAAACTATTAGAAGGAAAAAGATAAAAGAATATGTTTATGTCTTTAGGATGGGAAAAAACATTAAGATCGTACAAACACAACTCATTGAGATTTTTAAAGTTGACTTTAAAGATTTGTAAAGGTGACCACAACAATGATAAAAATTACATGTGATGAGAAACACCATAAAAAAAGGAAAAGCATACAATAAATAGGGAAGAGAAAGGAAATAATAAATATAAGAGTAGAAGTTAATGTTATAGGAAACAAGCATAAAACACAGAGATTCAACAAAACCAACAGTTAATTCTTTGAAAATGTATAGTTCTCTGGTGAGGATGTTAAGAAAGGGAATGGGGTTGGGAGAGGGAAATGCAGTCAATATCAGGCATGAAAAAGAGGCATTACTATAGATCTTGCAGATAATAAAATGATTAAAAGGAATATTCTGAATAGCTTTGCCAATGTAAAATACAAAATTTAGAAGAAATGGAAACCACCTGGAAAAATGTAAGTTACCAAAATTGAATAAGAAGAAATAGGAAATATGAGGAGTCCCAAAATGATTAACAAACTGAAGTAAGTTTTTAAAAATCCTCCTACAATGAAAACTTCAGGTCTTGATGATGTCACAGGCAAGATCTGCCAAACATTCAAGTAATATAATATTCTCACACAACATTCTATTATTCTATTTTCTTTATTTTAATTCTAATATTCTATTTTCTTTTCCAGAAAATAGAAAAAGAGAGTACACCTTCCAATTCATTTTTTGAAGGTAGCACAACCTCAAAAACAAAACTCTAACAAGGATAATACAAAGAATGAAAAATCATTGATCATTCTCATTTATGAATATAGATGTAAAAATCCCAAGCAAAACTTCAGAAACCAAATAATGCACCATCACCAAGTTGGTTTTATTCCAAGAATGGAAAATTAAATTAATATTGGAAAATCAAATAATATAATTCATCACATTTAAAAAATGAAAGACAACATAAACCATCTGACTATCTCAATAGATGTAGGAAAAACATAAAAACATCTATATTCACCTCTAAAAATTCTTTGCAATCTGAAAATGGAAATGAATTACTTAATCTGATAAAGATAATCTATTAGATTGAGCTATATGCAATTACTATTTTTGTTCTATTCAAAATGGTAGAATATTAGCAATTTCAAATAGTTCATCCTAATTTTAAAACTATAGCAAATACCATACTCAATGGTGAAATACTGAAAGCTTTGAATCAGGACAATACAGTCTTGCTTGCATCACAACTACAACTCAATGTTTTATCAGAGATGATCGATCGCTTATTAAGTTATGAAGGGGATATAAAAGATATAAAGATTAGGAGAGCATACACTAAACTGTTATTGTATTATATCATTATACATTAAGAAAGTCTAAAAGAATCTATACAAATATTTTTAGAAATAATATAAGAATTTAGCAAGGTTGCTAGATACACAATTAATACACACAAATCAATTTTAACAAACATTAGAAAATGAAGAAAAATTAAAAAATGATGTCATTTATAATAGCATAAAAAATATCATGTAGGAATCAATCTAACAAGAAGTGTACTGTGTTTACAGAGAAAACAACAAAATGCTATTGCATGACATAATAGAGGACCTAACTGCATGAAAAGCTGTATCATGTCCATGGTTAGAAAGATGGTATTGCAAAGTTATGTATGCTTGTATGATATTGCATGCAAAGTTATAAATATTTCAATTGTTTCCAATTGGTAAAGAGTCAATGCAATCCCAATTAGAATTATGAAAGGTGTGTGTGTGTGTGTGTGCTGAACTTAATAAAGATATTCTAAGATTTTCACTTAAAAGGACCAAGCATAGCTAAGAAGAACAAGGTGGAATGATGTTTTACCATGTATGAAAACTTACTGTGGTGGTGCGGTTATCAAGAAAGTGGTTATCAGTGGAGGGATGAACAAAGAAAATAAAACATGGAACAAATTAAAAAGCCCCAAATCAGATCCACTCATATATGAATGCTTGATATTTGACAAGTTTGTACCACAGAGCAGTGGGAAAAGGGCAATTTTTATCAATAAATGAGGATGAGACAATTAGATGTCAATATGGAAAAAAGAAAACTTGGACTTCTATGTCATATCACAAACATGTCTGTTACAGACTAAATGTGAAAGGCACAATTATAAGGCTTTAATTAAGTTATATAATACTATATCCTCCGGACTTTGGGGGTAGAAAATATTTCTTAAACAAGTACTAACAGCTATAACTATAACAGAGAAGACTGACAAATTTAACCACGTGAAAATGAAAACTTCTTTGTTTTGCTAAATTCTTGAGATGGATGCTTTGATTACTAGTCTTAAGTCTTTTTCATTTTCTCAGATAGGCATTTATGTCTATAAATTTTTTCTAAGTACAGTGATAGCTGCATGCTTCTAGTTTGATATTTCATCATTATTCAGTTTAAAATATTTCTAATTTCCATTGTAATTTCTTTACATGGCTTAGTTTATTTCTTAAATTCCTAGTACATGGACTTTTAAAAATTATCTTTCTGTAATTGATTTATAATTTAATTCCACTGTGAGCAGAAAACATATCTATATAATTTAAATATTTTAAAATTTGTTGAGACTTGCTTCTTACCCTTGCTCTCCTAATCCATTCTGCAAGCTGCCCTTCAGCCTGCATGGGAGGTAACTGATGGGAGAATAAGCCAGTATCCAGCAAGGACCTGAGACCAGACAACAGCCATGGGTGTGAACTTGGAAGTGAGTTCTTCTCCATTGAGCCTTTGGATGACTGTGTTCGTGGCTGACACCTTGACTGCCTCCTAGGAGAAACCCTAAGCTGAAGTCACCTAATTAAGTCATACCTGGATTCCTGGCCCTCAGATAGTATGAGGTAATAAATGTTTGTTGTTTTAAACCAGAAAGTTTTGGGATAATTTGTTATGCAGCATAGATAACTAAAAGATATTTGTTAAAACTCTGCTACTATAATTATGAATTTTGTATTCTTTTATTCCTGTCATTTTGTATATTTTGAGGTTATATTATTAATGGATACTCATTTAGGATTGTTGTAACTTTCTATTCTTTTCTTTTTCCTTAGTTCATTTTTTAAATTTGTATTGAAGTATAACTGATATATTCGTTTCAGGTGTACAACATAGTGATTTGGCATTTATGTAGGTTATAAAATGCTCACCACAATAAGTATGGTTACCATCTGTCACCATACAAAGTCAGTAAAATATCGTTGCCTATATTCCCTATGCTGTACTTTTTATTCCTGTGACTTAATAGTTTTATAGCTGAAAGTCTGTACCTCTTAATCCTCTTCACGTAGTTCATCATCCTTCCACCTCCCTCCACTGTGGCAACCACCAGTTTGTTCTCTGCATTTATGAGTCTGTTTCTGGGGCTTTTTGTTCGTTCATTTGTTTTGTTTTTTAGATTATTATTATGTAATGTATGTTACCATGTATGCTATTATTATTATTATTTGCTTGTTGACTGGTTTGGTGACTGAATGGATTATTTAACGAAATTCTATTCCTCTTCTCTGTGATGCAAAGCCTCTGATGTTGCTTTTCCAGGGGGCATCTCAGGGATGGAGAAGGGAGAGTTTCTTGATCACATACTACAGATGCTCACTTTTCTCACCCAGGTTTAATAGATTTTTTAAATAAATGGTTCTTCAGTCATGTCATGCCATTACTACCAAATCCAGAGACTTTACTTGTTTTTTAAAAAAACAATATTCAGCAGTTTCCATGGAATGCATCCATGGCCCTCATCATGCTGTGACACCTACATGAATCCATTCCTGTTGTTTTAAGCCATCAGGTATGTGTCCGCTAGTTACACCAAGCACAGGATACTAATATATAGCTAAGCATCTTAAAAAATGTATGTATGTGTTTTTATTTGTTATGTAGAAATGGCATAAATTTTGTAAATTTCTGACTCTGAGTGTTTTAATGGTGCTTTAAGAGGGATATGGAATTCACTCAGTCTCCCCCTCTTAACAGTTTCATTCACTTCCACATCTTTTCTCTAACTAGAATGTTAGGAAGGAGGAAAGCCATAAACCCAAAGGATTCTGGGAGTAGGCGATCTGGGTTCTGGTATCCTAGCCTGTGTAACTTTAGGAAAGCCCAGTCTCTGGGTCTCAACTTCCTCCCATGTTGGAAGGGAGTCACCACATGTAGCCCACATTTCAGGGGTAGGGAGTTATGCTTCCCCTTCTCTAGGGTGAAGTATTTTATATACATTATTTGGGACTTTTCTGCATCGGGGATTTCTTTTCTTCTCTTCCATTAATTAATTATTAAATTATTTTTATCAGTATGGATCTTAGATATTTATTTCATATTTTGGGTTATCATCTGTACTAGTTTATTTGGATTGGATGGCTTTAAACAACAAATTTATTGCCCGCAGTTCTGGAGGCTGAAATTCCGAGATCAGGGTGCCAACATGGTCAGGTGAGTGTCCTCTTCTGGGCTGAAGATTTCTCATTGTATCATCATATGGTGGAAGGGGCTTGGGAGCTCTGTGGGGTCTCTTTTATAAGGCCCTAATCCCATTCATGAAGGTGGAGCCCTTAGGACCTACTCACCTTCTAAAGGCCCCACCTTCTAACACCATCACATTGGGCATCATGATTCTAACGTGAATTTAAGGGGGACACAAACACTCAGACCATAGCAGAACCCAATATCACTTTATTTCTTCTGTTGCTCAAGTGGCTCCAGCTTTGTCCTGTGAGAGCTCTTTTAGTTAGTTCCTGTGCCCCTTTGATATACTCTCTGATCAGTTGTTTTTTTTTTAAGGTGTTTTTTATTACCTTACTTTATAGATGATGTTCAGTTTTTGATGAGATTTTTTTAAACATAAGAAGAGAAAGCAGTCTCTAAAGAAAGGGTTTTAGAATACAGGAGCCTGGTGTTTGAATGAAATTCAACATATTGTAGAAACTAATGTCCTCAGTGAAGTATTTACTTGCTTATTTATAAAAAATATGATGATCTGGCATATGGATGTCACTGTTCTGGCAACTGAGGACACAGATAGGCCTCCGCTAGTGTTGACATTCTATTTGAAGAAGAGACAAACATAGACAGGCTGTTCTCACCTTGCATGCTGCTGATATGCATGAGTTTCAGTTACCACAGTTTAGCTCAATTACATCACTCCCTCAAAACACACTTCAAATTTCATTCACCATAGGAAATTTTCTGTGAGCAATTGCATACAAACCTTGCTGCTGGCTCTTCTTTAGTCCACATAACACTATGGAACTAACAGATGCTCATCATGATCAGTAACCAATCACTTCTTTCAAAGTCTGTAGTGATGGATCGCTATGACTCTGTTACTCAGTTTACCCACAGATAGCAAAGCATGTAGTTGTGTTGTCTCCATGTCTCCCAGTGATGAACCTATATGACATTGTACAAAAATAAATGATCGCAAAATGGAATTGACAATAAAGATGAAAGTGCAATCAAGAAATGAAAAGTGATAGCGCTGGATGTGAAATTCAAATTGAATATAAGGAGTTACAGAATAAAAAGCGCACCAAAAGGATGTGGACATACAGTTAGTTAGATATGCAGCCAGAGGAACTCAGGGAAGGCAAACTTAGTACATAAGTGAGGAAAGTGTTAGTGAGGTGAAGGATGAAAGTGCCCTAGAGGAAGTGACGACACCAGAAAATATTCAAAATAAAGGAACTTTTGTAAATATTTTGCAAGACTGAAAATGCAAGAGATGAAATGTTGGAAGCTGACCTAAACTTAGAAAGAAGGAGAATTCACTGCAGCATAAACAAGATGCTTGTTCTATATCATAAATTATACAAGAAGAAAAAGGCAAGTGCTCTTCAAGCTACTCTTGGTTTTTTTTACAAAGAAATAAAACACTAATTCTCACTGTTTTTAAAGTTTCAAATTACAGTTACCAGAAATATTAGTTTTACTATTTTTTATTTCCCTATGCATTTATAACTGACAGTAAGAGTGTTTCTAATACTTTGAAAACATTTTTTAAAGGTCACAGAACAATCCTTACTTTTCCCATTGATTATTGAGATTGCTTTTGATGGTTCCAGTTTCCACCATCATTTTTTTTTTTGAAGAGTAATGCTTTTTTAATATCTGGAAAACTCATTTATGTACAATATCTGTTTTCCCACAATTCACTGAACAAAATTCTATAATGGAATACCTACCAAGTGGGCAGACAGGTTTTTCCTTCTCAGGGAATCCCACCATCATTTTTATGTCCCTGCACTACCATGCAAAGGGAGGACTGATGATTCTTAGTATGTCAGATGCTAAAACCTGCTAAGAAAACAAAATTAGGTTGAGAGGAACTGGAATGCCAGCGTGAGAGAGGAATCGATATTTTCTGTAGGGTGGTTTGCAGAAGGTGTCTTTAATGAAGTGACACTTGGGCAGAGGCTTCAAAGAACGGAGAGAGTGAGCCGCACAGATATGGAAGTGGGGGGACTGGGAAGAAGCAAAGGATTTGACAGCTTTCCAAAGAATCATTGAGGCTGAACCAGGAAAGCCAGTTAGAGATGACAGCAATGGTCTGGGAAGAGATGGTGGTGACTGGGACCAGGGAGTAGTGATGGTGAGAAGTGTACAGATATGGATATAACTCAGTGGTGTGCTGGAGAAACCTTGGACCGCCTCTTGAGAGCTGATTGTTACGTTTTCAGGAATTTTTACAAGCTGGTTGTTAAGCTGATGGTAGCTTGAAGTTGGCCACATCGGGAGTATCTATACCACAGAAACTGGCAAGTTTATAAATCAGGTTTCTTTTTTAATTTTGGACAGTTGATTGGTAAGTATTTACCATCTTACCACTGGCCATGAGCACTTTAAGGGCAGAATTGAAAATGGGATATAAAAGAAAGAGAAATGAAGGAGGAGTGAAAGGCTTCTGAGCTAACAGCATATGGTCCATGAACAGCAGAGTTGGGAAGAGGACAGAATGATAGAAGAACTAGTGTTCCTATCACAGAGAAAAGACGGAAAATATTCTGGGTTTGAGGAGTAGGACACTTAGGCAAAGAGGAAGGACAAAAATTTTTCTTCTTAAAAACAGAACTGGAATTCATGTGTACTCAGAAGCATTCGAGAGCTTCAACAAGGCTAGGGAACTGCAGGCAGGAGTCCAGAAGACAGGATGACGCCACAGAGCATGGACATAGTGTGCAGCTCATGGCCGAGTCCCAAAGGTGAGGCGTGAGACATATCCTGATATGCAGATTTGATTTGTTTCTCACATTCTAGGGAGATGTTTTGAGTCAGTCCCCAAAGCTAGTTCTCATGGCACCTATGCAGGCCCGTATGTGAAGACACAGTTCTGGGGGCATCAAGGAATCTGAGAAGGAGCAGAAGCTGAGGGCAGGCAGTTCTCTGGAGTGGCTGGCATTTGGAGCTTCTGGCTGCTCATTGACTTTGACTGGGACCCTCAGGGCATTAAGGGGGCAGCAGGCAGCAGGTGGGGAAGGAAGGCGCCATGGGAAACATGATCTGATCTAGTTTTGTGCTCATCATTCAAGAAATGTCCCTGCATGTGTCCTATGTCCTCTAGGCTGTCCCCCTCCTGGGAGCCTGTCCTGAGAGGACAGGAGGCCCTGAGATGGGACTCTGCCCCTCACCCTTCCTCCCACGGTGCCCCTCAGCCTTCCCATCCATCACTGAGTCACAAGGAGGCTCACGGTGGGCACAGCCCTAAGAGCAGCTGATATGCGTCTCCCAACATTTCTCTCAAATGTGGACTCCTTTGCCCCATGAGCCCCACTGTTCACAAAACATAGAGATGGTCTCCAAGGGGACCACACCCCTGGCCACCCGTCATGCAGCCCCCTCTGCCCAGAAGCCCTGGGACTCTGTGGACCCCTATGGAATCCTTGATTCTGCCCCCTACGGGCCTCCCCTCCTGGGAGCTGGGAACCTCTGAGA